CATAAAAAAAAAATCTTGAGAGTCTGATCCCCTACTCAAGTACATCACGCACAAGGCTATATGTAAACACATATAAGCAACGCGTCAAAACATTGACAATGTCGAAAAATAACAACTCCCACGAGGAGAATACTAGCTCCGTGCTACTACATTATCGTGAGACAACTTCCACGAGGACATAACTCGGTCAACTCTATTACCCCAGAGACAACTCCCACGAGGAGATTACTTGATCCGTGCTACTACATTATCGTGAGACAACTCCCACGAGGAGATAACTCGATCAACACTATTACCCCGCGACGAGACAACTCCCACGAGGAGATAATTCGCTACTACATCGTCGCGGGACAAAACCGACGACTCAATTAACTTACATCGCGACAACTTGGTCGCGCTATGCACCAATGCGCATTCACGCCCCTCCAACACACGCTCCAACACGTTATCGCACACTATCGACTACTACAATTTTTACTCTCGACACGATATGTCACTCATTTCAACATGGCCCCCACATCGACTCGAGAGTCGGGGGCTTAATAATATGCCTAATTGGCCCAACCCAATGGGCCTACAAATTATTTATCTACTGGGCCACGAGCCCAATATCGAAGACCACTATCACCGATGCCCAATCACTTTCAAGCAAGGTTTGGGCCCGACAGTCTCAACTAAGCTATAAATACACATTTGAACTCATTCCATAAGGTACGTCCTATTAACTGAGCAATATTATTAACCGTATTCTCTGGACTATTTCCACTATCAGTTCGTCGTTGAGGGGTTTCCGCCGGATCAACCCCCGGCCTAGTTCACGTGTTCTATGATCGCAGGTACCTCAGGATCATCAAGTTGTCAAGCTACTGATCCGCTTTGCTCTCCCTGTTCATTTTCTACACTACCCCAGGTGATCTAAACTTTAGCATCATCATTTTCTTATACCACACAAGGCACATATTTCAATGATGTTCTGCTATAAATAGCCGTCATGTGTTGTGTTATACTTTACAATTTTGATTCACCAATAAATAGTAGTCTACATATAAATTATGGATTCACGTATTCCTTTTAATCCTATTATCAATTCACAATATAGTTCTCAGCCACCACTACCACATGAGTCTCAAGCATTTTCACAACAATTTACGTACAACCAACGTTTAGTTCACAATCTCAACAATTTCCAAATTTACGTACCTAAAAGCTTCAATTAATTAATTACGTACCTTAACGCTTTAAGCGAAAATTAAAAATACATCATGCATATTAATTCGATAATTAAAACACATAGCATGCTCGCAACGAAACGTAACATACATACATATGATTTCATGAAAAACGATCAAGTAAAACATACATATCAATTTCATGAAAAACACATAGCACATAATTTAATCTAATTAAATAAAACCTTATAATTAATGAAGTCGAAAGATTACCTCTTGAAGCGTGAGGCGAACTATCGGATCGAAGCAAACTGCCATGAAAACCAATCTGTGCAGTCGGGAGGAGCAGCGGCGGTGCGGTGGTGGTGGATGCACTCAACGACGGCGGCGCGTGAGATCTACGCGCTGTCTTCGGGCGAAGCGTGGAGGCGCGTGCGGCGGTGGTTCGATAGCGGCTTCTCGGTAATTTGACTCCTTGATCTTCCTACTCTCGGATTTCACCTCGTATACTTAGATCTACTAAATACGTGGAACTAGACACGCACAAGTTAGAAATAGACGGAAGAAAAAGACGAACGGAAATACACTACCAACGACAAAAGGCGCATGTGGCCGATTACGGCGACGGGCGGCGGTGGTGGTGACGGCCGTGGGTGAGGATCGACCGTGGGGTGTGAGATCCGAGTGGCTATGGTTTTGTGTAAAGTGTTGTTTTTTTTGCAAGACCTATAAATCATGTATTTATACTGTCTTGTATAAAAGCCCTAACGGGCTTAAGTTGGACCGGGCCCAACAACTTAAGTTCGTTAGTTCTTTTACTCGCTCGTCTCTCTCAATTCGATGATCGGAAAATTGTAACAATTACATTTTCAGAATCATTATAATTTCCTCGTCATTACGAGTGCCAATTCTCAATTTCCAACTTTCCAAAAGTGGAAACCTTAATTCAGTGCACTTTCTAAATTTGGAAACTTCCCGATTTAGAAAGTCCACTAAGATGTTCGCCTATTCTTTTCATTTTCTTATTCTCATTCATAATTCCAAATTATGAATGTTGGACTCAATCATATTGACTTCCAATTATGGAAGGATAAAACATTTTTATCTTTGACCGTTCATTTAAAGATCTCATGTGCACGAGCAGTGTAACCCTCGATGGTTCAGGTGTAAGCTAGCTGTGGGCTCACAACCCTTTGTGGTCAAAACTCGTCCCTTAGAGTTACGATTAAGATAAAGCTCATTTCACCTTAATCACCCAACGAATCAAGATTGGCGTCTAGCAACTACGCGTCATGATTCCCTAGATACAAATGAAGTGCCTGCAAGAACTTTTTTATATAGTTAGCATACAGTACGATCCCTTCGATTCATATGTACCGATTGAACTAGAGGCATTGGTTCATCGAGACCTCATTAGTAGTCCAATGACTATGCGATCCTTCTAAGTGTTGTAATCGTTTCGTGCATGACTTAGAAAATCGAATTCTCTAATCATCACTTAGTCAGCTCTGGCCAGAGACCTAGAGATCGCAAACTATGAGAACACACAGGACATCCAAGACTATTCTAACGATCGAATCCCCGACTACAATGCACAGACCTCCCACTAGATTTCGGACTACACGAACACTGGCCCTTGGGGTGGTCCTCGGTGGGACTCAGGGACAGGTCACGACACAGCTGGTCCTCTAGTGAAGTCACGGTAATGTCTAGGTCATAAGGACTAATGGTGTACAACTATACCATAGATATCTCTACTCGATTATTGAGAACCACTTAGAGATTTCTAGGGTGAGAGAGTTCAGTGAACTCGTCAACTTACGAGCACCCACTTATGCATGCCGATATCACAATACCGTTTACTGATGAGATGCAGTACACATACACTAAGTGCTAGTCTCTTAATGGGAAAGGCCGATATCCTCATTGGTGGCGTAACCCTTCAACTAGGAACAAGTTTAACAGTTATAATACTAAAGTAAATATCTCACGATCCTAACGATCAATTACTAGTACTTGTAATAACTGTAAGGACTATATCTATGCTTGTGACAAATGGACAAAGATATAGAATGCCAATGTGTTTTATCATTAATACGAAAAAGATTTGTTTATTACAATAATAAATGGAAAGACCACAGCCACAAGTTGGCTTGTTGGTCACCTACTCTAACAATCGTCACCATTTAGTCAAACAAAACTATCATTACAAAGAAAGTTAAATAACTAAGCCCAATAATGAAGCTAGCAATGCTGAATAAACAGATAAAATATAGAGAAAACAAAAATATGGTGACATACCCATTTCTTACAGTAATTATGAACAATAAATACAGTCCAAACAATTGTGAATAAATCACAATTTTCATCAAGCCCGCGCAAATAAAAAAATGAAGACCACCGGGTCACCCACATGATTTATTGATTCGGTACCAAAGCAAGATATATGTTGATGTGCATATGCTTGCAAAATTAAAAAAAAAAAAGTGTACACCTGAACTAGGTATACCAGCAAGTTTCATAACGTAGACACACAATATTATCCTTAATCGCATATACTTCGCCGAATAACCCTGGTCGAAGAAGCAATGGCTGTCAACCAGTCGTCATAATTAATGATAACAAAACCTACAAATTGAATGCTTGGTCTACGAGGTAAAAAGTCGAACAATATTAGAAGAAATTAAAAAGATATATAACTAAAAATAAATTGATAGAGTGGTTTACTGTAAACAATTGTAGGCGACTGTAGACATCGGTGAGAATGAAGACAACGGCTTGGACAATAGATTTTGAGAAAAAGTGCAACCTTATATACTTGGTTGTTTTGTAATTTCAAATTTTAGGTGTAGGCAAGGGCGGTACTTCATAGGGGCAGGGGGGGGCAGTTGACCCCCCAAGAAATTTTTTTTTTTTTTTTTTGCTGTTTTGGCATAATAATTTTTGAATATTACTTTTGGCCCCCCCAAAGGTTTTGTAAATATGTATCTTAACCCTTAATTTTTTTTGTTTATTCTCCACAATTTTATATAAATTATAGATATATATTATATTTAATATAAAAATATAAAATAAAATGGTTAAAACTTGTACTATTTTAAATAAAATTTATGAATATTTACTTATCGATCTTTAATTTTTTATATCAATGTCTCTAAAAAATAATACGAGACGTGCCATAAATCCCATTAAGTGCAATATATTATTAGAATAATTTAGATTTTTTTGTCATACTTGAAATATGATAAAATTATATATATATATATATATATATATATATATATATTATTTTAATTAAAAATTCGCAGTATAAACCTATTTTTTTAATGTCTTGTGAACCTAAAATTTTTTTCGGGCCGTTGCCCCGAACCCCGAAATTTTAGTTAGCCCCCCTACTTTCTAATCCTGGTTCCGCCCCTGGGTGTAGGTGCGGGTAAATTGTTATTTCACATTCACTTTAAAATGGGGATGCGAGATGGGATTAGTTGGCCCACCTCCACCGGCAGGATAATGAATCACGTGAATGCGGGATATACACCCGGGTTGAGGATTAATCCCGGATTATTTACACACGAACCAATCACCAGTACATAATGGATTATGAGATCAATCAGCTATAATCAAACGAACCAAACAGTCCCTTAAAACATTGTCAAAGCTTTGATATATTCATTAATATATATAGCGTTTAGATTATAATTCGATTAAATTATGTTGATGAAATGACCAATAGCCCTAAAAAACATTATCCGTTAAAAAAATAGAAGAACCCACGGTCAAAGCTTTGATATTTTCGTTCTGACTAATAAAAAAGAAGAGGAAAAAATCTTTGATATTTTGAGTGCGCTATCCATTTGGGGGTGTCATCACATATCTCAATTTGTAAATTACCAATTCTTCAACACTGACACTCCAATGGCGATACCACGAATTATCATCTTCCTCTGTCTTTCCCTGGTTTCATTCTCCGTCTCCGCAGATGGCGGCAGCGCCGCCCACGACGAATTGATTAAGTACGGGTTTCCGATCGGGCTTCTCCCGTCGAACGTGGAGAACTACACCATAAATCGTACATCGGGCGTTTTCTCGATTATCCTTCGTGACTCTTGCCGCGTGACGCTACCTCCTGACAACTACTTGGCCACCTACTCTCGCAAAATAAGCGGAAAGATTGTAGAAAATCGAATTGCAGAACTGGATGGGATCAACGTCAGAGCATTCTTCAAGTGGTGGGGTATTACTGGAATTAAATCCAACGGCCAGGATTTGGTCTTTGAAGTCGGCGTCGTTTCCGCCAAATACCCTTCCAAGAATTTCGACATCTCTCCCCTCTGCGAGGGCACCCGCTCTTCTTCATAGAGGTACTTTTTTCTCATTCAACTGTTATACAGACTGAACTAATTTTCTTATATGATTTAATTGAATTATCATTTGACCTAAAAAACTTGGTTGAGTATTTGCTAGTAATGTTCAATTCACCTTTAATTTCAAGAGTTGACCTCCTAATCGATCGAAAAATCTTAGGAAAATGGTGTTTCGTTTATGGACTTGTTTCCGACCAGTTTTCTAGAATTGTTAAAAAGGAACTATGGTTTTGTGAACAATGGAATCCAGTGTTGTGATTGGTCTAAATGACTTTTTTTTTTGTATTCAGCTGAATGTACACATAGCGTCGACTAGCAGTTGTTAGTGTCTGAATATGTTTACTAGAGTTCAAAGTGACCATAAACACTGTCCAAAAATTATGCAAAGTGATATAAAGCCAAGATTTACTCGAGAATTTCGTTACATGATTATATGTCGGGCCCACTTATGCCTACACTTTCTATAACCAGTTGTATATGTAGTTTAGATCAATGTACTGAATTGTATGGGACTACAAGCTTTCTGAACATAATTATGGATGATTTATGTTTTGATGTCTAAATCTTTTGTATTATCAGTGATTTGTCAAGCGATAAGTTTTGGAATTTCATTAATTGCAAACTTTTCTGTAATATTATCAGCATTTGTATATATTGGTTTTCAAAACCGTGAATCTAATCGAAGATCATTTTGTCTAAAACACAAATTGTAACAATAACTCATGTCCAATAGAATATGTGTGAGCCAAAACTACATAAGCTGTGTGCCTTACACATTAAAACCCAAAGTTCAATATTCAAAACTAAAATACTTGTTTCGATCATACTTCCTGACATTATAAAAAACAAAAAAAACCAAAACCAACAGTAGCATATATCATTAATTACCATGTTCGTCACTATCATCATCCAAATCAAGCATTTCTTCACTTTCAATATTTGCTTTGATTTGTTCCAAGACCTCTTCCTCTTATAAACCGTCAACTTCAACGGTGACTTTTTCCTTCCCTTTCTTGTTGCTAGATTCACCATTTTCCTCTTGGAAACTTGTATTCGACTCGAGTCTTCTCTCTCAATCTCAGATATCCACTCATCATCAGATTCCCACCCTAAAGCTATCAATTATTACCAATTACCAAATAAATAAATTTATAAGCTTGCATTTAAATTAAAAGTATATCAAGTAAAACATTTACCTTGCTGTTTCTTGTTCCTCATTTGAATGGCCATGGATGTAACACCCTCATTTCCGATGTCTAATATGTGCATTTCATAAATTAAAATGGGAATATAATGTATAAGTGCATGAAATGTTCATTTCTGCATTGTCATAAATGATCATGTTTACTTAGTCATGCAGATTATGTGTTTAAGTGATATTAATAAATCTTTATGAGAACTAGTGTTAAATTATACATGTGATTACTGTATGTACTGTATAAGGTGCAATTTAAATATGTATATACATGTAAATATCGTTCTCATTTCATGATCATGAGTCATGCGTGTACATTAATTAAATGAATTCCCGTGCATAATTGAACTTGTATATATTTACATCTTATTTGATTAAGTGAATTTATAATTTACATATCCATGATTACCTATGCTATTTGACTTAATTGATTATGTCTTAATTTATTCATGTTATGAATGGTTAATTAGTTTCATAGTGATCATGTAGCATACACGACTAAATGAGTCAAGAAAATGCATAAGTGTGTATGTATGTAGCCGTGCAGTATTATGTGTGTATTTATACTTATACGCATTATGTGTATTCTATTCATATTAACACCCCTTATAATCCATCAAGTGATTAAGTAGTAATACAATGCCCAACCCGTCAACTCCCTCTGTCTTAAATGTGTGATAAGCATTGGAAGGATCCCGTTGTTCTTTTATTGATTTCAAGACATACATACATGTATTCAAGTTTTAAGTTTACATGTTGGAGGTTGTACCTCACCTATGTACCTTGATATGTGTTATTTCTTAACTTAAATATGTCGTATATTGCATGGATTGTGTTTTACTGAAATTATGAGTTTGATGTTAAATGGTATTCTGCCCGAAATTTAGTACCTGTTTCCATTAAGATTTTCTCTTTGAAATTTTTTGAATTTTATATATCAATAGATTGACTAGTACTGTTCATATTGATTAAGTGGAGTTTAAACGATATATTTTATGAGCCTTCTTGAGTCAATTATAGGTGCTTTGTCCGAAATTTTATGTTTAACTTCTCCGATGTCATTAATCCTGTTGGGTTTGATTTTAGACTCATAGAACCCTGTTACTATTAAGTTTAAATAATTTTGGGCAAACGAATGATGTATTACAAATTTTCAAAGTACCCTCTGCTATTTTAGAATGTAAAATTGTAGCACTGTACAAATGAATTTATAACTTTGAATCTACGTGACATTTTGTCAAAATTGTGTACACATTAAGAGATATATATATATATATATATATATATATATATATATATATATATATATATATATATATATGTATATGTATATATATATATATATATATATATATATATATATATATATATATATATATATATATATATATATATATATATATATATATATATATATATATATATATATATATATATATATATATATATATATATATATATATATATATATATATGTATATATATATAAGGTTGCGTTAAAAATTTTAGTATGTTAGAATGAGTCGTTAAGAGAGATACATTTTCGAAGTTCAGATAGAAAATCTGTTGATTTTCTTAAATTAAGCGAGTCTCTATAAATAGTTTCTTTTGATAACGTATTTGATAATTGTTTAAATGCAGATATTGGATATATGAGTATGAACTTACATGAGTTATTGTTGGTTAATTGTTATTCGTTCTTTGTTATTTTATAATTTGTGGTGTTTGATTTGATCTATATACGTGTAATGTGTATATATATATATATATATATATATGTGTGTGTGTGTGTGTGTCTGTTTTCAGGCTGGTGTAATGTTATGGAGAGCTGGATGATCACATTCACATGCCTTGCCTCTTTTCAAGACATTACTTACTCTATGTATTCGATATGGTTGTGTATTATTATTATTATTATCTAATTACTTATACGTGATTTTAAACTATATATTCTGAATTATTATAATTAAGTGTAACTCTAATTGTTATTCCATATGTATAAAACTAGGGTAATGTGTGATTGTGTTCTATTCCGCTGCAATGCATACTAATAATTAATGTGCTTAAATTATTAGTTTAAATATTTGACTTGTGTTTAACATAAACATTTTGTTCAGATGCTGCCTTGCCTGGCAGTCTTTTAAAGGAGACTTTTGTGGTATCTGCAATATAGTTGTGATGAAATTTATGGAGATCAATGTACTGTAATAATTTTAAGGAAGTTTCAGTTTGTATAATACTGTGAGATTCTGTTGTAAGATGTTCCCAGTGGTTGTGAGAGTGCTTTGAGACAATCATTAAAAGATACGTAAACAAAAAGATATTCTTTTGTGTGTATATTTTTCGGATGATCCCTCTTCTCCCTCACCGAGCATATTTACATTGTGTTAGGGTTTCTCAAGTCCATTGTTGGTGGGCAGCTTACTTCTTCTATTTTGGGATATCTTTTCCTAAGATAAGGAGATTCTTTCGATTCGAAGCATCACGAGATTCTCATATCTCCTCGTATCTCTATGCAGCACCCAAGTCAGGGAATTCTCTACATATTTCTTCTCTTAACTGTCACCCTTAGGGTTATTGGTTCAAGATGGTCTCTGGTTCTCATCTCTACTAAATATTGATCATGTCAAAGTCACTTGTGATGCTTTTCCATGTGAATGATTAAACTTTTTAATTTTTTATTTTAAACAATAAAGGGTAAATTACATACACCCCCCTGAGGTATGCTTAAATAACTGTAAGGTCCCTGTGGTATTGATAATTACACTTAGCCCCCTGAAACGTAGTCAGAAACTCTAATGGGATAATGAATTGGATACGTTATTCCGATAGGGTTCTAACGGACTATTGGTTTCAGAAAGCGGTGAACACTACAATCTAGCTATTGGGTGACAAGTCTCCCATATTTCCTTTAAGGAAAGATTCACTACTTTGCA